AATTATTAGTAACTATTTTCCTTCCCAGTGTTTTTAACCTCCTTAGCAAAACCCAAGACAAGTATTATTTCTTGTGAGATTTACCCCATATTTTTCTTTCCCCTTTTCTAGGTTTTCTTTTTTTTTTAATTACATTTCAAAGTTTCTCATAGAAACCACTTATATTTCATAGTTTCCAAAGCTCTTTATCACAGAGGGCATGTGCATGAGAGAGAGAGAGGGAAATAGGGGAGAAGGAGAGGGAGGGGGAAGGAGGAGAGAGAGGAACAGGGAGGGGAAAGCGAGCCTAAAAGAGAGAGAGAGAGAGAGAGAGAGAGAGAGAGAGAGAGAGAGAGGGAGAGGGAGAGGAAGAGGGAGACAGGGAGGGAGAGGAACAGGGGGTGAGAGGAACAGAGAGAGAGAGGGAAAAGGGGAGAGAAAGAGACGGGGAAGGGGAGGGAAGGGAACCAATCGAAGGGGGAGGTAGAGAGGCAGGGATGGGAGAGAGGGTGGGAGAGGAGGAGGGAGAGAGAAAAGGGGAGAGAAAGAGAGAGGGCAAGAGAGCAAGGGAGAGAGAGGGAGAGGGAAGAGAGGGGCGAGAAAGTATTAGAAGGGGGAAGGAGGGAGGAGGAGGAGGGAGAGGAAGAGAGTGCGGGGTGAGGGGTAGAGAAGGACTGCATGGCAGTCACCCTCCAATGGGGCCTGGTCCTGACACAATCATTTCCCCCTCGATTTCCATCCCAGTAGGACCCTGTCCCTGTGGGCACATACCTGGCATGGTTTATGTGTTCTAAGCCCCCAGAGCTGGTCCTGTACCCTCTGTCCAGCACTCAGCCACTGTGCTATGCTATGGGGCAGACCCTCACCAATATTTTACGAAAGCAACGGAACTTCTAATTTTTGCAGTGTATCATGGCAAATTGGGATAGTTTACCTTTCTTGGGTGTTATGTGTAGTGAAAAATTAATCATCATTCAGACACTTCACTGTGGCTTATATATAGAAACAAAGAAAATGCCCCAAAGTGATCTAGCAATCAGGTGTTGGGTCACCATTTTTTTTTTTTAAAGAGTTTGTTTTATTTAACTTTATTTACTCTTTTTTTTTTTTTTTTTTTTAAATTTTACCAGGGGGGGACCGGGGGGGT